CCCACCAGGTGTCACCTCAGCACAAACTTATCAGGTCCCACATGAATACAACAGACACTCCTATCACTCAGGACATTCCAACATTTTAGAGGCCACCTCTCAAGAACTGGGGACAAAGCCAGCCAATTGTTAAATACAAAATAAGTAACAAAAGACTACTACTCCAGGTCCGGGCCAGGTAGCTCAGTTGGTTGGAGCATCATCCCCAATATGCCCAGATTCCAGGTTCAATCCTTGGTAAGGGCACAGACAAGAATCAACCATTGAATGCATAAATAAGTGGAATAACAAATCGATGTTTCTCTCTCAATCAAAAAAAAATTTTTAAATACTACTATTCCAAATACGTTACTGTTTCTATAAATCAGTAAAGAGCCAGGCTGGTGTAGAACAGTGGTTGAGCGTAGACCCAGGAACCAAGAGGTCACCAGTTCAATTCTCAGTCAGGCCACATGCTCGGGTTGTAGGCTCCATCCCCAGTAGTGGGTGTGTGAAGGGAGCAGACGGATCTCATTGATGTTTCTATCTCTGTAGCCCTCTACCTTTCTCTCTCTCTAAAAGTCAATAAAAACATTTTAAAAATCAGTAAAGAAAAAACAAGCATCTCAAGTTTAAAATAGGCCAATGAACATGTAAAAAAATGATCAACCATGTTAGTAATGAGAGCAGTGCATACAGAGACCACAATGAGGCACCTTTTATACCCAAAAGTTAGTCAACAAGCCAAAATGGGGCTATCATCTTAGAAAATAAACAGAAGGATGGTATACCCAAACGCACTAAACATACAGAAAAACCTGGTATACTGTATGTGGAAGCATTACATAATAGAATGTTATTGGGTAAGTTTGATAAAACTAAATCAGAAGCCTTTGAAATATGCATTTAATCTGACCTACTTTTATAAATTATTAAAAAAAATATCCAGCCCTAACCGGTTTGGCTCAGTGAATAGAGCGTCAGCCTGCGGACTGAAAGGTCCCAGGTTCGATTCCGGTCAAGGGCATGTACCTTGGTTTCGGGCACATCCCCAGTAGGAGGTGTGCAGGAGGCAGCTGGTCGATGTTTCTAACTCTCTATCCCTCTCCCTTCCTCTCTGTAAAAAATCAATAAAATATATTTTAAAAAAATATATCCAACTCTGGCCAGTGTGGTTCAGTTGTTTGGAGCTCCATCCCCTGCAACAGAAGGTTGCCAGTTCAATTCCTGGTCAGGGCATATACCTAAGTTTCAGATTCCATCCACGTGCAGGAGGCAACTAATTGATATATCTCTCTGACATCGATGTTTCTCTCTCCCTCCTCCCTTTCTAAAACCAATTTTTAAAAACCCATAATACATAATTCAGTTTGAAAATACATTTCAAAACATTACAGATAGCTTAAAGTTAGTAAATTGAAGGTGATTCTTATTCTCTGCTTTTTATTGATGACAAGCATCTAATGATAATGTGATAAAAAGTAGCGATCTCCATTTAATTTCAAACTTAAACTCACGTAGAGAATATGTAGAATACGTATTACAAAAAGTTAATAGAATTGTTATAAATAGAAAAACTCCCACTAAAAAGGTATATACTTGAATAGCTATTTTTTGTCAAGTACCTACCTGTATTAAGAGACTTACTATTGTGCGCCACAAATTCGTATGTTGCAACACTGATCCTCACTTTGATGTTATTTGGAAATGGGCCCTTTGTGAGGTCATGGAGGTGGGGCTCCTGAGGACCTGTAAAGTAGATCTGATCTAAGCGGAAAAACGAAGTCTTAGAAGTTACCCAGTCACACAAACAAGTAGCAGAATTGGCATAAAACCAAGAACTAACGTGCTTTCAAGATGTGTATGTACACCGACTGACACGCAAAAGTTTACAGCACGATTTTAACAATTCATGGGCCTAAATAAATGGCAGGTATAAAGGTGGTCATTTTGCTATTCTGACTTTCCTGTATCTTGACATTTTTTGGACTAAAGCGTTGGGGAACAGCACCCCGATGTTTAGGACACACCCAAATGTGTGTCCCCCTGAAGCCTCCTGGACGTCCCAACCCCACCGACCTCTCCCGAGGGTCCCTACCCGCTCCCACCCCGCACGTGGCGACGCGCCCATTCACGGCTCCCCCGGCACCGACTTCCACGAGGACACGGCCCCCCGGATGCTGCAACTCCGTCCACGAGAACCCCAGGCAGCTGGCCCCCAACCCCTGTCCTCATCCACCACACCCCGCGGTCAGGGACCATCCCGACCTCCCTCTCCACGACCCGCCGCAGACCCGTCACTCACTCTCTCCCGTCGCTTCCGCAACCCGCTCCCCTCAACGCTGAAGCCGGGCAAGCCCCCCAACTCCAGAAGGACGAAGCCGCCAGACAGACACCTCCCGCCCCGCCCCTAATAACCGCCACAAAGCACGTCTGACGTCACGGAATTCCCACGGCGCGGAATCGTTCCAGACGCCGCCTCCAGAAATAGAACGCGACCTCGAGGGAGAATTGTGACCTTACCTGGGGGACGCGCCACTTCCGCTTCCCCTCCCCTGTTGGCTGGTGCTAGTTTCGCGCTATGACACTGCCTCCATAACACCCTGGAAGTGAGCGATCTACCTACAAACGCCGATTCTGGTCCCGGTGGAAAATACCTTCTGGGCAATATGGCCGCGCACAGTCCCGTTACCCTGTGCTGAGAGCGGACATCTTCGACTGGGCGCCGCCATTTTGGAGTAAGTTCCGTACGGAGAGTGAGAGGGCCATTCCAGCGGCTGTTAGCCTCGGCGCGCATGCTCAGTAGCCTGTCACTGGCCGCCGAAGTCTTCCGAACAGACCCGAGAGCTAAGCCAATCACAGGCCGGGCATCCGCAGAAAAGGGCCGCGCCCACGTCCCCGCGCAGCCACTTTGGAAAACGCAGGGCGGACTCGGTCATACTGGGAACCTTCGGGTAGTACAGTAACGAACCGGCTGGGAGCAAAGAATTCGGGAACATATATGGAAAAGATACCGGTGACTCCAGTGGTTCTCAACCTTCTGGCCCTTTAAATACAGTTCCTCATGTTGTGACCCAACCATAAAATTATTTTCGTTGCTACTTCATAACTGTAATGTTGCTACTGTTATGAATCGTAATGTAAATATCTGATGTGCAGGATGGTCTTAGGCGACCCCTGTGAAAGGGTCGTTCCACCGCCAAAGGGGTCGCGACCCACAGGTTGAGAACCGCTGCAACGTGTTGGGGGGGAAAAAATGGGGATGAGGGTGCGGAGCAGAGGTGGCAGGAGGAGAGCGTCTGTTCGTGCGCTTTGTGATGAGAGACAGGGAGGGTGTAAGGAACCGGGGCAAAAATAATGGCAACGACAATGCACGACAAGAAGATATTACTCGAGTCTTGTGTTGCAAGATAAACAGATACATTAAAAAAAAAAAAAAAAGATTCTGTGTATCCTGAATAGCCACAACCAAGTCACCAAAAGTCATTCTCAGAGGATTTACAGGGAAAGGCGTTTCCGAAAAGAGCCTGAAGGTCGGGAAGTTGGAACTCAGTGCGACAAGACTAGTCATGGAAATATTTGCTCCAATATTCCCAATGCTGATAGGGGCTCTCAGGCCCTCAGAACTCCCCTTTCTGAGAACAAATACTACCTTTCTGGGGAGGGGACCCCACACCCGTGAGCTTAAAGTTAGAGTAGTCATCCGGTCACGTTTCTCTCTATGCTCATACAGCCATGCAGAAGGGTTCATTATTTTTTTAAATATATTTTATTGCCTTTTTACAGAGAGCTAGAAACACTTTACAGAGAGCTTTCCCACACATCCTGCACACATGGGGTTTATTTCCCGTTTGACTCTTTTGATGTTCAGTAAGTTGAAATCTCCTGAGAAAGGCTTTCCCACACTCGCTGCATGCATGAGGTTTGCACGCATGAGGTTTCTCTCCACTGTGAGCGTGCTGATGTTCAGTGAGCTTGAACTTCTTGGGAAAGGTTTTCCCACAGACACTGCATCCATGGGGTTTCTTTCCTGTATGAATTACCTTATGTTCCATGAGCTGAGGCTGCTTGAGGATGGCTTTCCCACTTTCAGTACATTCATAGGCATTCTCTCTTCTGTGTGTTTCCTGAATTTTAAGAGACCGGGACTTGGTCCTGATGGGCTTGCTACTTCTGTGGAATTTCATTTCAGTATGAGTTTGCTCGTGATTTGCATGGAGAAGGGATCTTCCATCTCCATTAAACTCAGCAGGCTCCCTTATGTCACAGCTTCTACTCTGGTAGATGAAATCTAAATATGATTTCAAAGTTTTCCCATCTAAATCAAACATATTGTTTGGCCTTAAAGGAAAATGACTTTTGCTCTGCAGAACAATGCTTCCAAATGCATGCTGTTCCATTGCCTTCAGCATATTTTAGTTTTGCAAGTGCCACTGCAGATGATCAATTGCCTCAATTTCTAGGAAAGAAGAGAACTGTGAATGCTTCCATGAGCATCATATGGAATAGAGCTTCTGCAAAAACACCTTAGGAGGGCTAACGCTTTAGTAGAAAACGTATGATATTAATATAGAAGTTCTAAGTATAAATGTGCCTAATCTTTTTTTTTTAACTTTCAGTTAAATATACATAAGATAGACCTCGCTGGTTTGGCTCAGTGGGTAGAGCGTCGGTCTACAGATTGAAGGGTCCCAGGTTCGATTCTGGTCAAGGGCACATGCTTGGGCTGTGGGCTCGATCCCCAGTGGGGGGTGTGTAGGAGGCAGCCGATCAATGATTCTCTCTCATCATTGATGTTTTCTATCTCTCTCTCCCTTTCCCTTTCTCTCGGAAATCAATAAAAATATATTTAATAATATATCTTCTATATATATAAAAGCCCAGCGACCGAATGGCGGATGACCCGTCGCTATGACATGCACTGCGGCAGCCAACCAGCCTGATCTGGGCCCTGATAGGCCTTCCCCTGGCTGGCTCCGCCCTCGATTGCCTTCCCCCATCCCCCGATAGGGGGCAGGCCTGGCCAACCTCCCAGAGTCCCTCCCCTGGGCCAGCCCTCCCCCCCAATAGGCCTTGATCTCTGGCCAGGCCGAGGGACCCCACCCATGCATGAATTCGTGCACTGGGCCTTTAGTGTATACATAAGATAAAATAGACCATTTTAACCATCTGAAAGTGTACAGTGCTGTGGCATTATGTACATTCACTTTTTTTTTTTAATATGTACATTCACTTTGTTGTGCAACCAGTGCCACCATCCATCTCTGGAACGAGTTCACCCTCTCCAACTGAAACTTCTGTACCAGGCCCTAGCCAGTTTGGCTAAGTGGATACAGTGTCAGCCTGAGGACTGAAAGGTCCTGGTTTCAATTCCAGTCATGGGGGAGGGGAGGTGACATCTAAGAAGAAATAAATAAGGATAAGTTCCAAAAGATAAAGGGGTAAGTTTTCCTCTAGATTCCTACATAGAAGAGCTCTTGAGTGGGGACAGAGACACACAGTAGTTGTTTCTATAGCCTCAGACACCCTCACCACTGTGACACCTTCTCTGAACGACTAGACCAGTGGTTCTCAACCTTCCTAATGCCGCGACCCTTTAATACAGTTCCTCATGTTGTGGTGACCCCCAATTTCATTGTTACAAATTGAACATAATTAAAGCATAGTGATTAATCACAAAAACAATATATAATTATATACGTGTTTTCCGATGGTCTTAGGCGACCCCCGTGAAAGGGTCATTCCACCCCCAAAGGGGTCTCGACCCACAGGTTGAGAACTGCTGGACTAGACAGTGATTTCCTCAGCCTTTCCCTCTTGCTGGTTCTCTTTCACTTACCTGGGTGGGTTCGACTGTGGATTTCATCTTCTAATGTCCACAGCGTTTCTCCTTGTTCCAATCTGGAGAGAGCATCTGGTTTGCTGACTTGATACCCTAGTCATGGGAAATGATGGAAGACTAACCCATCAGATTGAATTGGGAGTCTGTGATGCTAAGAGAATAGTACATTTAGGGACTGCACAATTCGCATGTTTGCAAATTAAAGGCTTCCCTCTAAGATGAAGAGAGATTATACCTTCTCATCTGGGTCCAGGGAGGGGACTAAGTATCACAGCCCAGAGCTTTCAGAAGATGAGAAAGGCCACTGACTGGGCTTTCTGAGTGACACAGGGGAGCTGTCCTCACCCACTGACACCAGGTGGCTGTAGTTCTCCATCATCATGTCCCTGTACAGGTCCTTCTGCTCGGAGTCCAGGAGCTGCCACTCCTCCCAGGTAAAGTCCACGGCCACATCCTCCAGTATCAGCAATTCCTGTAATAACAGCCCTGTTAATGTGAGTGTTTATTGAAAGGGAAAGTATGAGATAATAGAAAATATATATATTGGCCCCTGCCCCTGGTATCTGACACAGGGCTCCTAAAATCCTTATCACGTAAGTTCGTATGTGATAAGAACAACATGAGTGTCTTTGTTCTAATGAGGCAACTCTGAGTGTCACAGATACGATGTGATAGTTTGGGCAGGCTCCCTTTTCCACTGCTCCTGTTTCCATTCCAAATGATCCTATATAATAAACGGGTAATATGCAAATTGACCCTAACAGCAGAAAGACTGGGAATGACTGGTCACTATGACACACACTGACCACCAGGGGGCAGACACTCAATGCAGGAGCTGCCCTCTGGTGGTCAGGGCGCTCTCACAGGGGGGAGCTCTGCTCAGGCACAAGCCAGGCTGATGGCTGCCATTACAGCTGTGGTGGTGGGAGCCTCTCCTGCCTCCTCAGCAGTGCTAAGGATGTCCGACTGCAGTTTAGGCCTGCTCCCTGCTGGCAAGTGGACATCCCCTGAGGGCTGCCGGGCTGCCAGAGGGATGTCTGATTGCCATCTTAGGCCCAATACCCTGGGGAGCGGGCCTAAGCCAGCAGGTGGTCATCCCCTGAGGGGTCCCAGACTGCGAGAGGGCACAGGCCGGGCTGAGGGACCCCCTCTTCCCCCCCCCCCCCGCCCCGAGTGCACAAATTTTTGTGCACCGGGCCTCTAGTATATATATAATTGATTTCAGAGAGGAAGGGATAGGGAGAGAAAGATAGAAACATCAATAATGAGAATCATTGATGGGCTGCCTCCTGCACGCCCCACACTGGGGATCAAGCCCGCAACCCGGGCATGCGCCCAGACCGGGAATGGAACCCTGACCTCCTGGTTCTTAAGTCGACACTCAACCACTGAGCCACGCCTACTGAGCTCGACGTTTCTCTCTCACATTGATGTTTCTTTCTGTCTCTCTCTCAAAATCAATGAAAACATATCTTCCGGTGAGGACTAAAAAATAACTCCACTGAACTGCTTACCAAGGTGGTCACTGACCTCCCCCTATGGACACTCCCATTAGCAAACCCTCACAATCACTGACTTAAATCCCAATGATTCCCCGGTCCCTGACCTTCCTTCAGGGATGCTCCAGTCCCCAAGGCCATCCTAAGAACTGATCTTCAGACATTCTCAGATACTGACTTCCTTCATGGACACCGGAATCAATGACCTCCCGACATTCACCCCCAGTCAATGAACTCCCCGCCCCACACACACACACACACACACACCCAACTGCCTCCCAATCACTAACCCAACCCCTAGGTCAGTGATGGCGAACCTATCTGACACGCGAACTCATTTTTTGGGTTGATTTTTCTTTGTTAAATGGCATTTAAATATATAAAATAAATATCAAAAATATAAGTCTTTGTTTTACTATGGTTGCAAATATCAAAAAATTTCTATATGTGACACGGCACCAGAGTTAAGTTAGGGTTTTTCCAAATGCTGACACGCCGAGCTCAAAAGGTTCGCCATCACGGCCCTAGGTCATGCTAATCATTTGCCTCCAAGATTTCCCAGCCACTGACCTCCCCCAACAAAGGCTAACCCGAGCCACTCCAATCCCTGACCATCCCCGGGCCCGCACCATTTCTCACCATCCTGCCCCTCAATCATGAAATGCATCCCCCGCCCTACAATGGCTTGCTCCTCTCAAGAGCTCCCCGCAGGCCTCCCCTACCACGAACCCCAAATCTCCACACAAACCCTAAACAGCAAACTGAGACACACACACACACACACACACACACACACACACACACATATACCGCTTAACAGATCCTTCCTGCACCAGCTGGGTGGGAAGGGCCATGGTCCCTCACTTCTGCCTCCGACTCACCTCCCTGGTCAGGTTTCACTTCCCTGACATCAGAGGCTGCAGGCTGCCAACCACCCCCTGGGCGACCTCCCAAGACGAAGATTCTGTTCCCGCTTTAAGGGCTTTGAGACGAAGACACTACGACGAAGTATGGCGGCGCCCGTTAGGGAATGTTTGTGAGGGCCGCCATCATGGAAGACCCTGCCGAACAACCGCCTTTCCGGCACCAGGTGTCCGCGGAACGTCCCTCGCAAGCGTCATGACGTCCGTCGTTACGTCACAAGGGGTGACGCACCCTTTCTAACCCGTCCCCGCGGAAACGAGGCGCAGGAGGATAAACTTGGCCGCCTCCGCTTTGCTGCTGGTTCGTACAGAGGCTGCCCTCCCCCCGCCCCCCCACACTTTACAGTGGGCGCAGCCATCTTGGAAAAGGTCACGTGTCCTACAGGACAGGGAGGCGTCCTTTGGGGAGCTGGGAGCAGGTAGAGCGACTGGCAGGGATGCTTTTGGAGGACAGAATAGGGTTTGGAAAAGCCAAGGTAATGGTAGGAAGACGGGACGCCTCCTGTGGGCACAGAGGAAACAAACCTAGTTGAATGAAAGTATCTTCTTCAGCCAGAATTGGTGGTGAAGGTTAGGTGACACCTCTGGGCAGAAGGCGAGAGAGCTCGGGGAGGATCAGAGGTAAGAGGGAGGCTGAAGGTCTGTGACGTGGGGAAAATAGAAGACCAGAAATATTTTCTGGTAGAAATTTCTGTGCAGTCTTTATCTCACATCTTTTTACTTATAGTTTCTAGTGAAGAAATTATTAATATCGGAATTGTAAAAGAGAATGAAAAATTCCAGATTGTTGTCCAAAAATGTTCTAATCATGAATACACTTTACCGACTGCTATCTTTCCTCCCTCAAGAACTATTTAAAGCTAATGGCTAATTTTTATTTAGTATATACATATTTTTTGAACAGGGAACTATTTTATTAATACTCTGAAAGCTATAGATTGTGGATATACATCTCACTTCACATGTAAAAAAACAAAACAAAAGACAAGCTAAATCTATCAGAATGCCTATTTTCTCACCATCTTATCAATCGTTTAAGCTTTGCCATCATAAAGGTGAGTAAAAATCTTAGTTTTATTTCTTACTTTATAAATTGTTTATTTCCCCCTTTTCTATTTTAGCTTGGTTATCATTTTCTAGCTCCATTCGCCCCACCTTTAACTAGTCTACTTTCTGTCTCTATAAATTGGCTTATCTGGACATTTTTTAAGTGCAGTCATATAATATGCAGTGCTTGTGACTGACTTCTTTCACCACCATAAAGTTTGAATGTTTATCCATGCTACAACATATTTCTAGACTTCATTTTTACACCTGAATAATATTCCATTGTATGGATATGGCACATTTTATTTTTCTCTACATCAGTTCGTGGCTATTGAGTTGTTTCTATTTTGGGGCTATTTTAGTTAATGCTTCTATAAACATGTACACATTTTTGTGTGGACATATGTCTTCATTTCTCGTGGATGTAAACCTAGGAGTGAACTTGCTGGATCACAGAATAGTAAATGTGTTTAGCTGTTTGAGGAACTGCCAGACTGTATTCCAAAGAGCTGCATAATGAGAACTCAATGAGAACTGTTTTTCTACCTTATAATATTTCTGACACCAAATGCATGGGTTTTTTTTTCCACACCAAGCAACTCTCTATTTATCTGTGATAACAAGTGTGTGTCCAATTCAATTCAATTCTGACAATGCCTTCCTTGAGTCAGGTTCAGGGCCCAATCCTACAATATTGCTACCCACCCCCACTTCAGATGCCAATTGCCAGGTGGGGCCTACTGTATTTCTGATGGATTGGCTATAAGTCAGGGACTTCCATGATCTCCTCCTCAGTTTGGTATGGTAATTTGCTAAAATGGCTCACAGAATGTGGGAAAAGTTTACTTATTGCGCTACCACAATTTTAAAAAATCAGATGTAGTGTTTACATTATGATGGCTATTACATACGATTTATAGCTCAGCCATGTAATATATAGGGTGTCCCCCCAAAATGTATACACTGAATAGTTATTAATTCCAATGGGTTAAATCTGAAAAGAGGCATCAACTGAGCTATCAGAAAAAAAGTGTGAATACATTGAATACATTTTTTAAAATATATTTCTTTATTGATTTCAGAGAGGAAGGGAAAAGGAGAGAGAAATAGAAACATCAGTGATGAGAGGGAATCATTGATCGGCTGCATCCTGCATGCCCTCCACTGGGGATCAAGCCCACAACCCAGGCATGTGCCCTTGGCCGGAATCGAACCCGGGACCCTTCAGTCCGCAGGCTGACGCTCTATCCACTGAGCCAAGCCGGCTAGGGCCATTGAATACATTTTTGGGGACACCCTGTACTGTGATAACTTTTCCAATCTTGCATAACTTTATATTCTCTGTGGAGTTATTTATGCCTTCCAGAAATCCTGGCCTTTAGTTCTCAAAAAGACCCACTCAGTATTGGCATCACTGGAAGCTGTTTCTTCCAGTCCAGGAGTGGGGTGGGGGTGGGGGCGTGTGTGTGTGTGTGTTTATGTGTGTGTGTCTGTTTTTATAGCTATCCCCAGTAAGTGATTCTGAAGACCCTTTTCTGTCCCCCAAATCTTTCCGCCAAAAGCATTTTCGGGGTATTTGCCTTTCAGCCTGTACCTTGGCTCTTTTAACTCCGCGGAAAAGTCGTTTTCCTTTGTACGGACACCTGACTTCTAAGATGGCTGCGCCCGCGGTGTCATTTCGGAACGTGCTCTGTGCAAAGCGGACAGCTTCTCTCCCCGGGTTGCTGAGGTGGACGCGGCCCGCCCCACGTTTGCCTGGCGCCAGTTCGAGCTTCCGAAAGTGAATGCCGTTTGTTTACGGGGTTTTAAAGCGCCGAGAAATGAAGCCGTTCGGTGGCTTTTCACCGTCCCGAGCCTTCCCTGGCGGCTCGGGTCCAAACGGCTATTTCGCCTTTTGTGGAAAGATGGCCGATGGCCGCTCCCTGGATGCGATGAGGACACGGGCGCGGACATTTTCTCCGTGGAAGTCCGGGCGTCGGTGCGCCGCACAAATGCCTCCGACTCCGTTCGGTCGCCGCAGACCGGCGCATAGGCTGCGCGAGGACACACGCGGCAAAGAATTCACGGAGGTGCAGCTCGTGGAAGGTCGCGGAAACCCCGTCTCTGTGTGGAGCTCTCAGAGGTACAGGATGGAAGGATCGCGGTGACTAAGTGTTCGGGTGGGAGGGCAGGGGGTCCGCGGAGGAGAGGCAGCAGCGGGAGTCTGTGGTTGGGGTGCCTTTGGGGTCAGCCCTGCGGGATGCTGTGGGCAGTAGGGAAAGGCCGGCGAGGTGCCCGGCTGACAGTCCGTGGCCAGGCTTGGTGTCTGCGTGACTGAAGACTGCGGTGGGGACTGGGTTTTGATCGGGAAAGCAGTGTCTGATCGCATTGGGGGTTTAAGATGCGGCTCAATGACAGGAGCCGGGGTCACGGCCAGCAACCCGGGGTCTGGGCTCGCGATGATGCTGATGGACAGTGACCAGTGTTTGGGAAGGTCCAGATGTTTCATGCGTTGGGGGGTTTGTGAGAGCCGAAGCTGGTGGTGGGTGGGTGGGGTGAGTTGCAAACGTACCTTCTTTGCAAAGCTTTGGGCTTCCCACATCCCCCCCGTCCGCATCATCTTGACCTGAAAGCTTGTAGGAGGTGGACGATTCAAAGCGCATCTGAAAAGGTCAGGCTGCCACTAAAATGAGGATTTTGCCCTTCCTGCAAATTTGTGCGTCTCTCTCTCTCTCTCTCTCTCTCTCTCTCTCTCTCTCTCTCACACACACACACACACACACACACACACACACTGGTAAATATTTCCTTTTAGCATCATTATAGCACAAGTAAAATAGCACGCAGTTCCCCCAATTCAGTTCCCCAATGGTCACCTTTGTTAAAATGTTCATAGATGTTTTTTTTTGTCTTCATTTTTCTTTTCTTTTTTAAAAAATATATTTTTATTGATTTCAGAGAGGAGGGGAGAGGGAGAGAAAGACAGAAACATCAATGAGAGAGAATCATTGATCGGCTGCATCCTGCATGCTCCCTACTGGGGATGAGCCCACAACCTGGGCCTGTGCCCTTGGCTGGAATCGAACCTTGGACCCTCCCCTAGTCCCCAGGCCGATGCTCTATCCACTGAGCCAAACCAGCCAGGGCTAGTCTTCATTTTTCTATGCTTGATTTGCACAATTCCAACAAATCTCTGGTAATTTGCCTCATCACTTAATTTCATATCATAAACATTCATATAACAAACATAAAATTTTTTCTTTAAATATATATATTTTTTAAATTTCTGTTAACAGTATAACAAGAGGCAAATCCATGCCATTATGACTGGAATCACTCAATGTGTACATTCATTTAGATGGAGCTTAAATACTTAAATATTCAGTTGTCACTTTTAAGAACAGGTTAGGATTCTGCATTTACTAAGGATGTGGCTCCCTGTCCCTCATCTTCACCTTGACTTTTAAATTTTTTGCCATTGTGAATGGTGGTGGTTTTTTTTTTTTTACTTTTGACCTTTTTTGTTCTTTTCTTTAAATGTACTGTTACATAGAAGAGCAATTAAGTTATTTTATTTTGTTCCTGCTCACCTCACTGAACCCTTACTATTATGAGCATCCCTGTTCCTCATGATTTTATTATGAAAATTTTCAAATATATAGCAAAGTTTAAAGAATTGTACATTTGAACCGTACCGGTGTGGCTCAGTGGTTGAGCGTGGACCTATGAACCAGGAGGTCATGGTTCGATTCCCTATGAGGGAATATGCCCGGGTTGTGGCTCAATCCCCAGTGTGGCGTGTGCAGGAGGCAGCTGATCAGTGACTCTCTCATCATTGATGTTTCTATCTCTCTCCCTTCCTCTCTGAAATCAATAATGTGGGGTGCGGCTACAGTGTTTTGGATAGGTTCAAGCCTTGGACTGAGGAGAGGGCACAGCCCTCTCATTGCCACGTGCAAGTCCCAGCTTGGAGGGCAGATCTCTCCCAGCACAATTATAGCCAACAGCTGTAGTTGTGAGCTTGAACCTATGGTCCGAACACGTGGCCCCAGGTGCCTGAGTGATACAGTTCAGGTGCATGTAGTTGAGTAGGATTGAAACCCAGGAGAATGTTGTAAACATCTTGATCACGCCCCTACTTTGCCTCGTGGCATCTGCTATAAAATAAAGACCAGCTTGTGGGCTCTGTCTCTCCATCAGAGAAGCAGTGTCCCACCGAGACCCAGCTTTCATTCTCTTGTCTGTCTTTTCTAAGCCTTTCACCGCCCCCACTCAGGGTCACTGACCCAGGCTGAGCTGGCATAGCACATAAGGCGCCCTGGGGCTGAGTATGCCATGGCCGTGCCGGCTCGCCACACAATAAAATACATTTTTTAAAAAGAATTGTACATTTGAATACCTATATGCTTAGGTTTTATCATGATTTTATTGTGTTTCCTTTACTACATATCTATCCATGTATCACAACTCTGCTTGTCCTTAACCCATCTTTTTACATTAAAAAAATGTATTTCAAAGTAAGTTGCAAACATTTATGCATTTCCCCCTAAACCTCCCAGTAAGCATATGATGAGAGTTCTATTAAGAGCTTTTTAAAAATAACAGTTCTATTAGTCATATACCACACAACTTACCCGTTTAAATTGTACAATTCAGTGGTTTTTAGTATAGTCATAGTCATATTCAGCCATCAGCACAGTCAATTTCAAACATTTCACCACCTCAAAAAGAAACCATGTGCCTTCTAGTTACCACCTCTGTCCTTCCATATCCCCCATATGTAAGCAGCCACATTCTTTGTGGTCTCTATAGATTTGCCTGTTTTGGACATTTCATATAAATGCATATAACGTGGTCTTTTGTGACTGGCTTCTTTTCACTCGGCATCATGTGTTGGAGGTTTATCTACGTGGTAGCATGGATTCCTTTTTATCCCTCAATACTGAGCCATTGTGTGTATAAGCACGTTCTGTTTATCCCTTTATCGGCTGGTGGATATTTGGGTTGTTTCCACATTTGGGCTATTATAAATAATGTTGCTATAAAATCTGCGTACAAACTTTTGTGTGGGCATGTTTGTTGGTTTGTTTAGTCTATTTTTATTGATTTCAGAGAGGAAGCAAGAAGGAGAGAGATAGAAACATCAGTGATGAGAGCGAATCATTGATCGGCTGCCTCCTGCATGCCCCCTTCTGGGGATCCAGCCCACAACCCGGGCATATGCCCCCCCTGGAATCAAACCCGGGACCATTCAGTCCACAGGCCGACACTCTGTTCACTGAGTCAAATTGGTTAAGGCTGTGTTCGCATGTTTTTACTTCTCTGATATAATCCTTCACTAAATTTAGATTGTTAGCATTTTTAATAACTACATAGTATTTCATTAGATGTGTGTACTTTTACTCATTCAGTTACTCCTCTGCTAATAGGCCTAAATAATAGTTTTACATCAGCTTTGCATGTGTTTGCCATTATTTCCTTTGCAAACATTTCTAGAGGTGGATTTTGGATTCTAGTAATATCTCTATTGAAAGTATTCAATACAGAATATTAAACTATTCCCACAAAATATTCACAGTCATGTAACACTTATAAAAAGTGTGTGTTTTGGAATGTTATCAATTTTTAGATATCAATTTTGTAATCAGTCAACTGACTAAAATTTTAAAATAGTTTTTTAATTGATTGAGAGAGAGAAACATCCATTTGTTTTTCTACTTGTTTATTCATTCATTGGTTGCTTCTTATATGTGCCTAACCAGAGATTGAACCTACAACCTTGGTGTTGGGATGATGCTATAACCAACTGAGCTACCCAGCCAGGGCTAAAACTTATTTTATTTTATTTTATTTTATTTTTTATTTTTTTTAAACCAGAACCATTTTTTTAAATATATTTTTTATTGATTTTTTACAGAGAGGAAGGGAGAGAGAGAGAGAGTTAGAAACATCGATGAGAGAGAAACATCGATCAGCTGCCTCCTGCACATCTCCCACTGGGGATGTGCCCGCAACCCAGGTACATGCCCTTGACCGGAATCGAACCTGGGACCTTTCAGTCCGCAAGCCGACATTCTATCCACTGAGCCAAACCGGTTTTGGCTTTTATTTTTTAATATAATTTTATTGATTTCAGAGAGGAAGGGAGAGGGAGAGAGAGATAGAAACATCAATGATGTGAGAGAATCGTTGATCGGCTGCCTCCTGCACGCCCCACACTGGGAATTGAACCTGCAACCTGGGCATGTCCCCTGATTGGGAATCAAACGGTGACCTCCTGGTTTATAGGTTGAAGCTCAACCACTGAGCCATGTTGATTGGGCTAAAAGTTATTTTTGATACATGTTTACTCAAATCTCTGAAACTCTGACTCTTGATTAATCATGTTAGGGAATGCCTTATCATTTGCTTCCTCTTCTCTATTATTGATTATTCTTACTTGGTTCTTTATCCAGTTAGTGGGGTTTCATTTCCAGAATGGTAATAGATAATAGTGGTTATACTGCGCATCCTTGCTTTGCTCTTGGCTTTAGAGAAAGTATGTGTATGGTTTCACTGGACATATGTAGGATGTATTGGATTTTTCTCACTTGATGTTTTGACATTGCTGTTACCGGAAGGGTTCTTGGAGCTGCCTGCTCTATCATTTCCATTCTAAGGGATTTCCCATCATAAAGTCCTCTCTCTCTCTCTCTCTCTCTCTCTCTCTCTCACACACACACACACACATTGCTGTTGGTACTTTTTAAAGAGATAAACTGATGCAAATGCAATTTAAGTGATATCCTTTCATCCCTCCTCTTCTTTCCTCCCCAGAGATAACCATAATCTCGAACTTGTTTTATATAATGCATGTTCTATACTGTTACAAAGTGTGTATATATCCACAAACAATAGTCTTGCTCTATATGCTTTAACTTTTTTTCTATCTGTTTTCCTTTGTATCACATAATGATTAGTGAAATGCTTGGCTTAGTACATTTGTCTTTACACTGAAGTGTGTTTACAATGAGTTGTACAGAGATTTCTGAAAAGATACATGAACACATAATATTAAAGAAATAGGTGTCCGGATCCTCGCCTTTTATATGTCTCTGTCCAAAAATATATGTGTGAGACGTCCCCTGCCGTGGGGGCATCGCATTGTGCTGGTTCTCCTTTGCCCTCACAGAAGGAACACATACTGCCCACACCTTCAGAATCTTATGTTTTATTGCTCCAGAGGGTAACAGCCTCCAGAGCTCCAGATAAAGGGACAGATGGCCTTGAAATCAGCTGAGTGACAGTAGCAGGGACAGCATCTGGACCCAGAGGAAAAGTACACTCAAAGCGAATTTACTTTTCAGCCCGCAGGTCCCGGCTCGCGGAACAAGATCTACCAGGTGCCCTGAGGACGAGGTCTCAGGACCTGGATGTTGTCATTCGTGGGGACACCACTGATCAGAGCCTAAGATTTCTACCCAGAAATTTCGAGCAGCTCAAGAGGAGACGGAAGACACAGCGTCCATCTTCCTGGCCATTTCCCGGTAACAGAAGAAAATGATTAAGGACCAGGTGACTCTGGGTTTGTTTTATTCTTTCCTTCATTCTGTGGTTGATTTCTGGAGGACTTGAAAACATGATTGAATTAAATGGAACAGCACAATTTGTGCAGAAATAAATTTAGCCCCTAACTTCAACATTAAGGCAAAATAGGATGAGGAATGTATTGTTCCCGGGAGCCTCCCTAAATGACTAATGTTGGAGCATAGTGTGACTGGAGCATCGTACGGGTTCCATGAGCTGTCACCTTCTGTCTAACATCTCTGACAGCCCTCACGGCCAGAGAGCCATGATGCAGACAGGCTGTTCACCGACAGAGGGGACAGCAGGCCCTTCCTGGGAGGGTGTCACTCTGTGTTTCCTGACATTTAGATTTTAGGTCATTTAAAAATATATATTTTTTAAATTAATTTCAGAGAGGAAGGGAGAGGGAGAGGGAGAGAGAAACATCAATGATGAGAGAGCATCATTGATCGGCTGCCTCCTGCATGCCCCACACTGGGGATCGAGTCCATAACCCGGGCATGTGTCCTTGACTGGAATCGAACCCAGGACTCTTCAGTCCTCAGACCGACGCTCTCTCCGCTGATCCAAACCAGCTGGGGCAGGACATTGTTTATGGTTCTTCCTAGAGCTGAGATATTAGACAGTGTCCTTCACTTCAGCTTTCCTGTAAATGCAATGCGGGGCTCCTCAGAGATCCCTTTGAGAATAGACCACGAGAGCTCAGCGGGCACAGGTTTTCATAGGACCATAACAGTGAGACCCATCGACCCAGCCTTACGGCAGTGAGGATTAATCTAGAAACAAAACCTCAGTGGCCTAAGAAAATGGAAGGATTGCATGGCACTCAAAGGTCCTGTGTGACCACGTGGCTGAGCTGGTGTTTGAGTCAGGTTTGGCAGTAGGCAGTGTGGAAAGTACTGTCGTCTGCGAAGGTTGGGGTCCCAGAGGGTTTTCTATAGTACATCCTCCTCTCTAAGATAGTACACTTTCCTGTGTTCAAAGCCTCTTCCAAATGCCTCATTTCTTATTACCTTCCAACCACACATCATTGTATATGTGGTCCGTCGTTGGCCGAAACGTTGTTACGTAGCACGTGACTATATTTGTGTTTCTTGAAGGCTGCAATTTACTTTCTTAGTCTGCTTAATGACTTGAATAGTCTCCTGTTCTTAGATGTTAGACAGATGTTTTGGAAAAATGCTTTATTTCTCCTAATGTATAAAATATATTTGTTTAATATCTAGTGTCTTATAATTATACTGTCTGCATTTTTTTTTTTCTGGGTGATTCTGATGATGGCTATCAAGATTGACAGTAAATGTAGGATTGGAATATGTTTTAGTTACCTTGATATTAGTAGTATATATTTAGTGCCCGGCAAATATGTGCCTTTAAAAATGTATATACATATATATATTTTTTTTAATATATTTTATTGATTTTTTACAGAGAGGAAGGGAGAGAGATAGAGAGTTAGAAACATCGATGAGAGAGAAACATCGACCAGCTGCCTCCTGCACATCTCCTACTGGGGATGTGCCCGCAACCCAGGTACATGCCCTTGACCTGAATCGAACCTGGGACCTTTCAGTCCGCAGGCCGACGCTCTATCCACTGAGCCAAACTGGTTTCGGCTATACATATATATTAAATACAAATATTTCTGGTTTGAGAAAGAGGATTTAATGACTGCTTATTACATAAATACTTGATTTGTAGAACGATGATTGGCTGCACAATTACAGAATAGTTTACTATTGATGTTGAATATGGATAGATTTTGCTTCTATAACAATGTAGTTTAAAAAAAAAAACAGCCCTAGCTGGTTTGGCTCAGTGGATGAAGTGTTGGCCTGTGGACTGAAGGGTCCCGGGTTCTACTCCAGTCAAGGGCACAAGCCCGGGTTGCAGGCTCAATCCCCAGTGTTGGGGGGTGCAGAAGGCAGCCAATCAATGATTCTCTCTCATCATTGATGGTTCTATCTCTCCCTTCCTCTCCTAAATCAATAGAAATATATATATTTTTAAATATATTTTATTGATTTTTTACAGAGAGGAAGGGAGAGAGGTAGAGAGTTAGAAACATCGATGGGAGAGAAACATCGATCAGCTGCCTCCTGCACATCTCCCACTGTGGATGTGCCCACAACCAAGGTACATGCCCTTGACTGGAATCGAACCTGGGACCTTTCAGTCCGCAGGCCAACGCTCTATCCACTGAGCCAAACCGGTTTTGGCTAGAAATATATATATTTTTTAAAATCAAAACACTTAATATAGATGTAGCCCATATGGTAAAAATGAGCAGAACTTTCTTCACATTCCTTCCCTCTCAATAACAAGAGAAACACTCCTATTAAACAGGACCTGTTATTACAGGACTCACTCACACTGGAGGATGTGGCCGTGGACTTCACCTGGGAGGAGTGGCAGCTCCTGGGCTCCGAGCAGAAGGACCTGTACAGGGACGTGATGTTGGAGACCTACAGCCACCTGGTGTCACTGGGTGAGGACAGCTCCCCTGTGTCACTCAGAGGGGTGGCCTTTCATGGCTTCTGAAAGGTCTGGAGTGTCTGTGATGCTCTGAAGTAGTGGATGAGTCTCAGTCCCCTCCCTGGTCCCAGGTTAGAGGGTATAATGCGCCCTAGTACAGAGAACAGCCTTTCCTTTGCTGACCTGCAGGCTGCGTAGTTCCTGAGGTACAACATTCTTCCGTGTTAGCACACCAAAGCCCGTGTCAAAGAGCCTGTCTCTTCTGTCACTTCCCATGAACAGGGTATCCAGCCAGCAAGCCAGACACACTGTCCAGATTGGAACGAGGGGAACCATGGACAAGAGAAGGTGGACTCCACAGTGGGATCTGCTCGGGTGAGTGAGAGCCAGCAAGGAAGGCGGCCGGGGAAGTCCTGGTCCATTCGTTCAGAGGTGTCACAGCCGTGAGGTGTCTGAGGACACGTACACAGAGCCTCCACGAACCGGCCATAAAGGAGCTCTCTTTCTGTAGGTGTTTAGAGGAACAGGTCTCTTCTTGGACTTGATCCCTATTTGTTCCATTGAGGTCTTGATTGTCCCCCCCTCTCTGCTTCTTCTTACAATTCTCAGTCTCACCATCTTTCTTCCCCCAGGAACAGTACCTGTTCCTTCATTTTCTTGCTCGGAAATTCCACCTTCCACGGCCTCTGTTCAAGGAGAGATGTGTGATGTTAGCACTGTCTTCTGACTACAGCACCTTCTCGCCCCGTTGGATAAGGTTGTTTTCCCTTCCTAACACCCGCCCCCATCTTTGATTGGAGTTAGGAATTTATTTATTTACTTACTTACTTTTGTTAATCCTCACCCAAGGATATTTTTTCCATTTACTTTTAGAGAGAGTGAAAGGGAAGAAGGGAGGGAGAGAGAAACCTTGATGTGAGAGAGGCACATCAATTGGTTGCCTACTGCTTGCTCCCCGACCCGGGGATGGAATCTGCAACCCTTGATCGGAATTGAACCTGAGACCCTTCAGTGCACAGGCCGACACTCTAACCACTGAGCAGCAACAGCCAAGGTTGGATTCATTTTCTTAAAGCTTTCCTTTTCCTTATGATAGTTTGATGACATTACATCCCAATTAATCATAGTCATGCCAGTCATTTAAGGTGGACATTTCTCTTTTGTCAATGACCTCCATTATATGGTATGATCTGCTTATACAGTTTGCTCCCTGCCCCTGCTAAACTCAGGGTCAACTATATTTAAAGGAGCCTCCACAATATTTTCCATACATGAGAATCTTTTCTTGTTCCATTGCTTTAAATCCTTTTTGATTGTGCTAAATGTTGTTGGATAACCTGTTACACACTGGCACTGCCAGCCATGAACACCGCCTCCAAGATAATGCTTGGCTATTTTATTCTAAAAGAAGAGGACATAAAATTCATCAAAATAAGTCTATATAAATAAGATGTCTTGAGGTGAAAAGTGCTGAGAAGATCAATCAAACAGCAAAAGGGAATAGTGTGTGAGGGGGCTGGGAGCTGCTGTTAGCAGCCAGGAATCTATTAGATCTTCAGTCATCTGGGACGGGGAATGCGTCTCCGGTAAAATGCCTTTAAGCAACTACATGAGGGATGTGAGCAGGTCCGTTGAGTGAATTGCGTTCCAAAGTAGACAAAATAGCAGATTCAAAGGCCTAGGAAGAATCTCAAGGAAGCCTGTGTGAATACAGTGGGGTGGGCAAGAGGGACCATGATGGAGATGACATGGAGATAAGGGCGATGCGGTGGGAGCTAGATTTTGGAGTGAACAGGTCACGTAGGACATTTGAGGAACTTGATTTTTAAAAGTAATGAGGTGTCCCGGCTGGTATGGCTTACTGGTTGAGCTTCCAACTATGAACCAGGAGGTCACGGTTCGATTCCCTGTCAGGGCACATGCTCAGGTTGCAGGCTTGGTCTCCAGTGTGGGGCGTGCAGGAGGCAGCTGATCAATGATTCTCTCTCATCATTGATGTTTCTATCTCTGTCTCCCTCTCCCTTCCTCTCTGAAATTAATAATTTATATATTTAAATATATATATATAAGTATATATATAAATAATGAGATGAACAAACATTTGAGAGGTTTCAGTAGAGGAGTGACAGGATGTAATTTATATTTAAAATGATCCCTGTGGCTACTTTGTAGAAAGTCGATGGCAGCAGGCAGAGGTTGAAGTTTGAAATCCAGTTAGGAGCCTATTTGTAGTACAAAGCAGAACACGTGGGTAGAGAGGGTGAGGGGTGGTCAGCTTCTGAATATCTTCTTTTTAAAAAATATTTTTATTGCCCTAGCTGGTTTGGCTCAGTGGATAGAGTGTCGGCCTGCAGACTGAGGGGTCCCGGGTTCAATTCCGGTCAAGGGCACATGCCCAGGTGGCAGGCTCAATCCCCAGTAGGGAGTGTGCAGGAGGCAACCGATCAATGATTCTCTCTCATCATTGATGTTTCTCTCTCTCTCTCTCCCTCTCCCTAACTATCTGAAATCAATAAAAATATATATTTTTAAAAATCAGTGATGAGAGAGAATCATTGATTGGCTGCCTCCTGCCCCCTGCACTGAGGATTGAGTTTGCAACCTGGGCATGTGCCCTGACTGGAATAGAACACTGACCTCCAAGTTTAGAGGTCGACGCTCAACCACTGAGCCACACCGGCCGGTCAATGCATGGTTTCTCAATACATTTACCAGGCAGGACCTCTTTTCCTGGAGTGTTTTTGTTAGCGTTGGGATTACGGCCTGGCTAGTCTATGTATAATGCTGAAAACAGGCCCTCTTGAGCCTAGTTGGTGAACCACAGCCCTAATATGTGCCAGAAGAGGTTGAACTGAATGAGAAATAAAGCCATACATTTTAGGAGTCAGATTTTAGTAACAAATACAGTCTGCATGTAATAGGTAGATGTTCAGCTTTTGCTACAGTTCAGGGCTGTGTCAAGTCAACATGAACAGTAAAGACGGGATACTTTAGAGATTTAGGGGAAGCTGTTTACAGTGACATAGAACGGGGGAATGATAGTGTGATAGACAGGAGGCATGTCTAGGACAGAATGAAGATGAAGGGCAAAGAATGAAGGTATCAAGTCAGAAATGTGCACTGTCAAAAGATTGGCCTGAAACCTGCCACTTGAAGGCCAGTTTTAGAAGGTATTTGTAGGGGAACTGGTGGAGTGTCAACATGGATAAATGGGGTAGTTGTTGGTAATGGAACTTTTATTTCCAGGCCAACTGTTGTGGATTTTGTTAGTAATTGGGTAGAATGATGAGGTTTGCAAGTTTGATTTATATTATCCTTAGATATATTCCTAGAAGTGTAAAACCCAAACTCTTAATGTTACATTAACTATAAACTTGATCCCATGCCTTCAACTTTCAGTCTACACACTTTCTCAAAAAATGATCTCATTCAGTCCTCTGTCCTCATATAATATTTACAACTAATGATTCCCACGTTGCTATCTCCAGTTAAGACCTTTCTCAAGATTTCTGTATCCAGTTGAGTTCTTCGTGTCTATATCGGATATCTAAAAGCCACCCGCAGGTTGATGTGCTTTGGAAGTACACACTTGATTTCCCCACATTGTGAACTTCAGTAATATTCCTTTTCTCATGAAAAGGCACTACCCACCACCCTGGCTGATGTGGTTTGGTTGGTTGGAGTGTCGGCCACACACCACAGGGTGTCAAGTTCGATTCCTGGTCAGAGTGCATGCCTGGGTTGTGGGTTCAATCCCCGGTCGGGGTGTGTGGGGGAAGCAGCCAATCAATGCTTATCTCTCCCCCCCTCTCTCTAAAATCAATTTTAAAAAATTTTTTAATGAAAAGGCACTACCCACCTATATAGTGCCCCAAGTCAAATAATTTGGAATATCACCTGATTCCTCATACGTATTAACTGCCCTATATTGAAACTATGAGTGAGCCTTATCTTTTTCCTCTCTTCAGATTATATCCTGATTTCTTCCACTGTGCTTTCCATTGCTCCCTCAAACCACTTTCCACAGTTTGTACCTGCCTTCTTTATCATTGCTTGCTGGTTCACTTTCCCCTAACCAGAATGTATGTTCAGTGAAAATAAGGACTGTTTCTATATGCTCATGACCAGCATAAGGCTTGGTGTATAGTCATCATTTAACCAGGATTTATGGATGTCTGGATGTGTCCCACATCATTTTAAAACAAATATCTATCTCTGTGCTCAAGTGCTAATAGTAATTTGATTTGATTTTACTATCCCAGCATGCTTTATGAGGTCATTAGAAAGCAAACAAATTTATATTTACTCATTTTTTAATTTTTATATATATTTATATTGATTTCAGAGAGGAAGGGAGAGGGAGATAGAAACATAAATGATGAGAGAATCATTGCTTGGCTGCCTTCTGCACACTCCCTACTGGGGATCGAGCCAGCAACCCAGGCATGTGCCCCCCTTTTTTTTTTAACCTCACCTGAGGATATTTTTTCATAGCTTTTTTTCGGGGAGAATGGGAGAGAGAGGGAAAGACAGAGAGAAATATCAATGTGAGAGATACATCATTGCACTAGGGGCCAGGCTGGGGAGGAGCCTGCAACCAAGGTACATGCCCTTGACCGGAATCAAACCCGAGACCCTTTGGTCTGCAGGCCAACTGAGCCAAACTGGCTAGGACTGTATTTACTCATTTGGAATGAATTATACCTTATTTATGTAATGACTGTTTTTACCTTTTATTTTCTTTGTTTATATTATTGTATTTTAACCTTGTCTAAGTGATAACAAACATATTTGCTTGGAGTTTCTTTGAACTGATATCAGCATTATCAATAAAGTGTCAGTCTTCACAGAGCTGTTAGTAAAATAGTTTTATTCCATACTAAGCTCATAGAAAGGTTCATTCTTCTCTTCTTTCCTAGAAATCAAGAAAAACGATGGTCACTTACAGAGGCACTTGCAAAATGAAAGATGTCTAAAGAGAACAGAACAGTGCCATGAACATAATGCATTTGGAAACATCGTTTTTTGCAGTAAAAGTAATTTTTCTTTAAGGCAAAGTCATGATATATTTGACTTGCACAGGAAAGCATTGAAATCAAATATAAGTTTGGTCACCCAGAACAGAAGCTGTGAAGTAAAGAACCCAATTGAGATTAATGGACATGCAAAGCATGAGCAACATCATACTGAAATAAAATTTCCTGAATGTGTTAATTCTGTAAACACAAACTCCCAACCCCTTAAGGCGCAAAGGACTCAGAAGATAAATAAACCCCATGTATGCAGTGAATGTGGGAAAGACTTCATCAAGAAGTCTCGCCTCATAGATCACCAGAGAGTTCATACGGGAGAGAAACCTCATGGGTGCAGCGTATGTGGGAAGGCCTTCTCCAGGAAGTCCAGGCTCACTGAACATCAGAAAACTCATATAGGAGAGAGACGGTATGAGTGCACCGAATGTGACAAAGCCTTCCCCAAGAAATCACGGCTACTCACTCATCAGAAAACTCACACAGGAGAGAAACCCTACGTTTGCGATGAATGCGGAAAAGGCTTCATCAAGAAGTCTCGGCTCATTAATCATCAGAGAGTTCACACAGGAGAGAAGCCGCATGGATGCAGTCTGTGTGACAAAGCCTTCTCCAGAAAGTCCAGGCTCATTGAACATCAGAGAACTCACACGGGAGAAAAACCTTACGAATGCACGGAATGTGAGAAAACCTTTCGCTGGAAATCACAGCTCAATGCCCATCAGAAAACTCACACAGGAGAGAAGTCGTTTATATGCAGTGACTGTGGCAAAGGCTTCATCCAGAAGGGCAATCTCATTGTACATCAGCGAACTCACACGGGAGAGAAACCCTATATATGCAACGAATGTGGCAAAGGCTTCATCCAGAAGGGCAATCTCCTAATACATCAACGGACTCACACTGGAGAGAAACCCTATGTATGCACTGAGTGTGGAAAAGGTTTCAGCCAGAAAACTTGCCTTATATCACATCAGAGATTTCACACCGGAAAGACTCCCTTTGTGTGTACCGAATGTGGCAAATCTTGTTCACACAAGTCGGGTCTCATTAACCATCGGAGAATTCACACGGGGGAGAAGCCCTACACGTGCAGTGACTGCGGAAAGGCTTTTAGAGATAAGTCGTGCCTCAATAGACATCGAAGAACTCATACAGGAGAGAGACCCTACGGGTGCTCCGATTGTGGGAAAGCCTTCGCCCACCTGTCATGCCTGGTGTACCATAAGGGAATGTTGCACACCAGAGAGAAATGCGTAGGTTCCGTCAAGTTGGAAAACCCTTTTTCAAAGAGTCACAGCTCAGCTCACTTGAGTGACAGAGTACAGGAGAAAACCCCTGTTGATGCAGTGACTGTCCGGATGCCTTCAGTGGCAGGTCAGATTTCATTACACATCAGTGGGTTCCTAGCGGATGGGAACGTGGCCACTGTGGGACCGCCAGGTGCCAGAGGCGCAGCCTCCGCAGGTAACAGAATTGGCACAGAGAAACCTTATGAACGCAGGGAATGTGGTAGTACCTTCAGTGACCAATTATGTCATATTGTATGTCACAAAAACCACACAGGAGTAAACTGTGATACAATCAAGGCGGAAGACCCTTGAATAAAACATTCTAGCTCATTATATGGCTTACAAGTGTCTGCTGAGACAAGTGTGCATACAGAGACTGGGAGAGCCTTTCGTGGCACCATAGACCTTATCCGTGCTGCTTCATGTGTCACATGTCATGAGCTCCTGGTTGGTAGAAATATAATGATCGTGGGAAATCCTTTTCCAGAAATAAGACTTCAGTAGGTGGTAGTGATTGTGGCAGGGTTGTCTGCCTCACCCACTGGCAGAGGAAACCCAAGAAATAAAACGCTGGGCACAACTAACTGGAACATCTTCAGCAAAATATCGGAAAATGCATGAAGCAGATAAGGCCTGTGAAAATGAAGGAGACTTTAGGGATTTGCGTCACAATTCTAACATAATTATACATCAGATAATAGACACAGTGTACACTGTAGGACAATATACCTTGAATCAAACTCCTAGTTGATATGTCTGTGAGGACTCCTTAATTTAATGCTTTTTAAAAATAGATTTTTATTGATTTCAGAGAGAAAGGGAGAAGGAGAGAGAGATAGAAACATCAGTGATGAGAATCATTGATCAGCTGTCTCCTGCACGCCCCGTACTGGGGATCCAGCCCACAATCCAGGCATATGCCCTTGGCCGGAATCCAACCTAGGACCCTTCAGTCCGCAGGCCAATGCTCTATCCACTGAGCCAAACCGGGTAGGGCTAATGCTTTTTTTAAAATTTATTTTTATTGATTTCAGAGAGGAAGGGAGAGGGAGAGACAGAAATATGAATGATGACAGAGAATCATTGATCGGCTGCCTCCTGCACGCCTCCTACTGGGGATCAAGCCCACAACCCGGGCATGTGCCTTCACCGGAATCCAACCCCAGACCCTTCAATCTGCAGAGCGTTGCTCTATCCACTGAGCCGAACCAGCTAGGGCAGGACTTCTTAATTTAAAGGAGGTTGTCTGTGTTGCACCCTCCCCCTGTTGGGGGCATGAATCTATTTTCTCACGTAGGAACATTATATGGTTATCTCTTGCATTTCTTCAGTTCTAAATTTACTCCATTTGTATTTTAGAGGACTGAAATCCTTCAAAAGGAAACGGTACATTTATTTCTACAGTATAACAGCATGTTTGGATGCGCTAACTTTATAAACATTCCCCGGGAACAGAGCTCAAAACTCATGAATAACCTGTCAGCCACGCTTTAGCCCAAAAGATAGTTTCCCATCCTGTGCGTGCACCACTCAGAAAAACATTAACAACCATTTCCTTTATCTGGTACTGTTCTAGGACCTATAGATGATGGTGATGAACTAAAAAAAAAAGTTATTGCTACCTTTGAGCTAGCAATTTTTTCTTTTTCTCTTTTTTCCCTTTCTCCCTCCCTTTCTCCTCCCTCTCTGGCTTCCTAGCTTTGGCTGCTAGCAATTTTTTGAAAGGTAGATTTCATGCATATAGCAGTTTTACCCTTCAGCAAGTATAATCAGAGGACATATACACTTTGTGATAGTTGAAAAGGATATACTAGTATAGTGAAAGGAACAAAGGATCCTGATAATTTCTTGTTCAGGATGCATTTTGTTATTTGGAGGAGGGAGGGATTCATTTTACTGGTACACACATAAAATAGAGTATGGGTACTTTTTAAAAAATGTTCATGTCTTTCTTACCTTCTACCCAGATGATAAATTCCTTGATATAGTTTATAGATGATGGTATATTTCCCAGAACATAGCAAAAAAGAAATGAATTATGTGTAGAATTGAAAGATGAATGAATGAGCTATTGGACTAATCAAGATTATTTTTGTCACTGAAAGAATGGAGCTGCTGGAAAGAAAGTCTAATGATCGGTATTCCTTTTTTGTCCCTCTTTTTAATTTTTTAAAGTTATTTTTTTCATTTTTTAAATTTTTTAAAATAAGGATCAGTATTCTAAGAAACATTAAAAAAAAAAATCCTGAAAAGAGGCTCCTGTCAGACTATAAAAGGGAGCAGATCAGAGAAGGAATAGGATCTGGAGAATAAACCCAATTAATGGAAGAAAATAATTTTACTAAAAATGGAGGACAGAAGATTAAATCCTTTGGATGTCTTAGACACACTTCCATTTGTCCACAGGTCTATCATCTTTTAAGAGTTGCTACCATTTCAAAGATCCCAGTTACTCTGATGTGATGAATTGAAACAAATTATATCACTCCTCACTGTCCTGGGAATGGAGTCCTTGTCCCTTCTATACTCAGCATTCTTTCTCTTGATCCAGTAAAGATACCCAGCTTAAAAAACAGTCCTGCTTATAAGGGAAAAAAGTAGAAATTTGCCAGGAAGCGGCTGTCTCATAATTGAATTCCCAGTAATTCATTACAACATGTTTATTTGAGTGTTTGCACTGTGCCAGGCACTGTTGTAGACACGGGATACCCTGGAGAAAGACATATGCAAAGTAATGGCCTCTAAGAGAATGCATTCAGGTGCTCTTCAGCAAAGAATCAGAAGTGGCTTCTTCAACTCAGACTTCATCCTCTTTACTTCTTGTCCTGCAAGTCTGCACATCCTATCATGGCGGTCAGCGTCTTTCTCACTGAAATCGTCAGTATGGACTTCCCTGAGCCCTGAGGACCAGGTGCGGAACTCACCTTTCAGAGGTTGGCATTGCAGGTAAATTAATGTTCATGGTATAGACCATTTCAGATTGACCTCTTTAAGAAGAGCATACCAATTTGTATCGTCTACTGCTTTACCCCTCATTTTCTTTTATTATTATTATTATTTTTAAATATATTTTTATTCCAGAGAGAAAGGAAGAGGGAAAGAGAGATAGAAACATCAATGATGAGAGAGGATCATTGATTGGCTGCCTCCTGAACGCCTCCCACTGGAGATTGAGCCAGCAACCCAGGCATATACCCTTGACCGGAATCAAACCTAGGACCCTTCAGTCCGCAGGCCAATGCTCTATCCACTGAGCAAAACTGGCTATGGCTCATAAAAATTATAGCTGTTATTAAGTGTGCTGCTTGTCAGATATTAACTATATATTTAATTATTTAGTTCTCAAATGCTCTATTTCCATCTTCATGTATTATAGGGAAACATTTGTACAGCGGGTCCTTGAATAATGTTTTGTTCAAGGTCCTTTATAACATTGAACTTAACTCTTGTTTATTTATATGAACCTGTGCTAAATAAAATCTGTTTCAGTAGATATTGTTTGGCTTAAAGTCACAACCTATCGATGACGTTAAGTGAGGACTTATTGTCTACAAGTCATCATTCTTTTCTCCTTAGTACCTGTAGCCAGATACTGCATACAGTTGTATGTGGCCAAAACTGAGAGTACTGAGATCAGGGTTTAGGGTTTTACTGGGGTCACTCTGCCTTGTATGGCTCAGTGATGGAAAACTAGAGTTGGGGGTGGTTGTATTAGTGGGCTAAGGCTGTCATAACAAAGTACTACAGACTGGGTCACTTAAAAGAAATTTATCCCTCACAGCTCTGAAGGCTGGAAGTTCAAGATCAAAGGTGTCATCAAGGTTGGTTTCTTCTGAGGCCTCTCTCGTCGGCTTGTAGATGGCTATCTTCTTTCTGTGTCTTCACATGATTGTCCCTTAATGTGTGTCTATGTCCTAATCTCTTATGAGGACACCAGATTGGATCAGGTCCCATCCTAACGACCTCATTTTAACCTAGTGACCTCTTTAAAGACCCTGTCTCCTAC